AGCGGAGTGTGAGGCTGGCACAGGACCAGGCAGTGTTTCGTTCTGTTGTACACAGGGTTGCTCTGAGTTGGAGCCAACTCAATGGCACCTAACAACAACAACAGCATACAGTATTTATCCAGTAAATTCACCAACTCATTCACATTTAGAATGTAGATTAAGCAATTAAGACACTTTCCTAGGCACCTGTAAGGAGATGCAAGTAAATAAACAGATGAATCAGCCACAGATCTTGACTTCAAAAAGTCCATTAACTAAGAAAGATATGACAGATACAACTAGAAAAAATACCTCTCATGAGGTAGAAATAAAATGTTGGGGGAGATTAGGGGACATAGAACAACTTTCCACAGAGCAACTCAAGATGGTAGAAACCAAAGGCGCCATCTGAAGGAGGATCAGAGGCAGATAGCATCTGAACAAGTCTTGAAGGGAAGAGACTCAGATGGAGAGAACAGAAGGGCAAAAGGATGCATGAAGGGAAGCAGGAATCAATGCAGAAATAGCAATGGCATGTGTAGAAAGAGGAGTGGGGAACAAGGCCAGGAACACTCGTTAATGGAGAGCTTCAAATGTCAGTTTAAGGAATCTGAACTTTGTTGTCCAAGCATGGAGAACCCATTAAAGGTTTTTAAGTAGAAAAGTGACATAAATAGAGCTGTGATTTAATAGGCAATGATTTAACCCTTAAACTGGAATGAAATAACCCCTAGTTGTTGTTGTTGTTGTTAGGTGCTGTCAAGTTGGCCCTGAGTCATGGTAACTCTTTGTAGAAGGAACAAAACATTGCCCCGCCCTGCACCATCCTCACAGGAGTGGGCATGTCTCAGTATTTAAATACCTATAAAATTTTGCTAATATCATGTAGATTTTCAATGAAAATTGTACTCTAATTCCCTACAATACCATGTGTTATCATATAAGCAAACTAGCCACTGCAAAGCATGTGGGTATTAAAAAGCCAGAACTCTTTGAGGTGGCCAGATATCAGAGAATTGAACCATAAAGTATAATAGTTAATTCACCTGACTTTTATTTTTTTGCCAAACTTTGAGACCCTAAAATGTGTGGAATGGTTATGATACGTCACACTATGGTATGTCAACCCCGCTAGTGTTCCCCTAGAAAATGGGAATGACACAGAAACCAGCTGATATGAGGCTAAGATAACACATCCAGATTCCTTCCTTACCAAGTTCCTCTGAGGACTTGCCATTCTATGCACTGAGAAATTATACCCATCACTGCTCCAGATTTGATACCCGATGCCCCAATGGCAAGGGCGTACAGCAGAGATTCCTAACCTTTAGTGGAATACCTGGAGAGCTTGTTAAAAATGTAGATTCCTGGCCTCACTCCTAGAGATTCTAATTCAGTAGTCTGGGCTGGGGTTCAATAATCTGCTTTTCTAACACACTGACATCTACTCAGATGCAGGTAACCTACTGAGTTGACCACATAATTTCTTATCCAAACTGAAACCCATTCAAGGGTGCATAAGGGCACAATTAACATCTGTACCTGGTGTGATGGTTAAAACCATGTGTCAGCTCAGCTTGGCCATGGTGCCCAATTGCTTGGTTGGTTAAACACTTGTCTAGTTGCTGTTATAAAGTAATTGAGTGTATAGCTAGCCATATATCTCCCTACCACATCTATCTATCTATCTATCTATCTATCTATCTATCTATCTATCTATCTCCCTAGCTGTCTGTCTGTCTCTACTCCTCTCTTAGCTTCATAATTAGGTTCCAAAAACGAGGTTTTTATGAAAAATCAGCATTATGCAAAACTTGGTGACTGCATGCTCCTCAGGCTGCAGGTGTCACTCTGAAGGTAGCTCCGCGGGGCTGCTCCCTCCCGGCAGCCTCCGTCTCTCACTCACACACTGGGACTCTCATACTTTGAACAGTCAGGCCAGCTTGTGACACTGCAACCCACAGGCAGAGCTGACTGTGCCAGGATATGGAGCTAGGAGGGGATCCGCCCTACCGCAACCCACGCAGAGTTCTTGCTCTCCACAGAAACTTCCACCCACTTGGGAAAAATCCCCATTGGCCCAGCACCACCAGAGCACCAGTGGCAGATCCTGGGGTCTGTGAAGTACTGCTGTGTGCCCTGGCTGCAGCCCTCTGCCACCTTCTTGTGGACTTGCTGCCTGAAGCCGCAGCTCCACTCAAATGGTGGGGCAGCCACTGTCCTGAGGTCCCAGCCAGGATTCAGCAAGGCTAAGGAACATATTGAGGTGTCTGACCTTGATTATTTCCCCCTTTTAACTTTATTTGGGGAGAGGGATGGCATTGGAAGTATCAAGAACTTGGGGCTCTGAAGGGAAACACTCACTCAAAACACTTGGGCCCTTAACTGATTTTAAGTAGATTTTTTTTTACTATTACTATAAATTCAACATGCTGAATACCAAGAGAGTTGATAAGTGAGGAGTATGCATATCTCACTGGTTCTATGTTTCTAGAGTCCCTAAGACACTTGGATAGCAGGCATAAACTGGACAAATCCATTAAACTCATTGCTATCATGTTGATTCCGACTCACAGAGACCCTAGAGGACAGAGTAGAACAGTCCCATGGGGTTTCCAAGGCTATAAATCTTTACTGAAGCAGACTGCTACATCTTTTTCCAACAGAGTGGCTGGTGGATTCTAACTGCCAGCCTTTCAGTTAGTAACCAAGCACTTAACCACTGTGTCACTAGGGCTCAGTTATATAAACTGAACGTGGCCACCCTACCTAAGGACCACACTGCAAAACACTGATGAAGAGGAAGATAAGCCAAGTAGAAGTACTAAAAAACATGTCAGGCAATAGAATGACCTTCAAAAAGAAAGGAAGAGAAAAAGGGGCCAAAAATAATGCCATGGCTGGATCCTGTGTGCCTTGGAACTCAGAGAATCTGCAAGCTAACAGAGGTACCTGCTTCAAACCTCATCTTCCAGTCTTTGCTGTTGAAGTTGCCATTTATGATTGTCCAGAAGATGTCAGCACCGTGAGGAAGTGACAAAGCGTGGAGAAGAAGAGGGACTGCCAGGGAAGACAGCTGGGAGAACTCGGATTTGACGACCCTCCACAGGCTGGGAATCAAGAGAAGCAAAAGCGGTTGGTGACAGTCATCATGACCTTTCCGAAAAACGTCCTATAAATTTATGGTAAGTGCAGTTAGTGGGTAGCTAATAGGAATGCATTTGGTGAAACTCACTCATCCACAAGACCACAACACTCTGAAAAACTTTTCCTTTGTGCTGTTCTGTTAATGCTTTTTTTTTTTTTAGAAATGACTTTTAGGCCACATTAAAAAATATCACTTAACATATACTTTAAAAATATGAATTAAATATTGAATATTTTAAACTCAACTATATAAATTTGGCCATATAAACGAACAGTGACTGTTGAATAACATATAAAATCATTATTGGATATGTCAGGATGAGGGAGTTTTGTTGGTTTTGTCTGCCTAGCAGCCCATTCCCCTTACTCTGGTCACAAAACACTCTCCTTTATTATTAATAATTATTATTACTTAAAACAGTCTCTCCCCTAACAGGCAAGGCTGTCAATCAAGATACCCCACCCAGAACATCATAAGAGTGATCACAAACCCAGGCTGCCCAAAGTGCTCCACTCCCAGGATCACAGTGACTAGTCTAAAGGTGCTGGACTCTGGTAACCATACGGTAACCATGGGGATACCAGAGTCTTTTTTTCAGGAATTGATGTGGACACTGGGAGGGAAAGGATTTCTCTCCTTCTGAAATCTCAGAAATGAAAGACCATGGTGGTCTAGAGCCACAAGTGACCCTCCTTCCCTCACAGCAGCAGCCTGCCTGAGAAGGGGCCAGCGCAGATGGAAGGGGAGTGAGTGAGGAGAGGAGAAAAGAGGAAAGACAAGAAAGGGGCCTCCCTGATGACATCTTGTGGCCACCCACCATCCCTAAAACCAGACCTCTACTGGTCAAAAAGTCCCCGCAGTTAGTTTAAGCTGCCTTCCTATTATTGCTAGAATAATTCCAAACATACAATTTTAGTAATTACATTATTGGCTTCAAATTTTTTATTCAATTACTTAACATACACCAGTTTTGTTGCTTGGTTGGTTGGTTTGGTTTGGATTTGACTCCAGAGTTTATATCAGAATCGAAACTAGTTATAACTTTAAAAACCCCACAAGGCATTGCTAAGAGATCAGAGGAGTGACACACACTATGTCTGATTCACAGATAGCATACTGAGGTTCAGGCCACCAGAGCTGCTAGTTCCTAAAAGAGGACTTCCTGGAGCAAAAGGAGCAATTTTCAAACACCTTAATGTTTGAGGAGCGGACATCAGACAAATACAAATCTAATCCCAACCCTGCCATGAATCAGCTGTGTGACTATGTGCAAATTTCTTCCCATCTCTGAATCCTAAACATCCAAACAACAGGATTTGGATCCCCAAACATCACTAAATAAAGTCCTTCTCATCAGGGTCCTCCTCACTTGGTTCCCAATCTATTTCTCCATCCTTATTTTCCATTAAACTCAAACCAGACACACTGCCATCTAGTTGATTCTGACTCACAGCAACCTGACAGGTCACAGCAGAACTTCCCCCATAGGGTTTGCAAAGCTGCAAATGGAAGCAGACTGTGACATCTCTCGTGACGTGGCTGGTGGATGTGAACTACCAACTTTTCAGTTAGCAACCGAGTGCTTAACCAGTGCACCACCTGTGCTCCTCTCTCACAAAGACCGGAGCCTAGAAAACTCGGTGAGCAGTTCCACTCCAACACACGGGGTAGCTGTGAGTCAGAATCACATCGACAGCACCCAACAACCCTTCCAGAAGGACTGGAACAATTAGTTCAAGTTTCCCAGGAAGAAAACTACTGTATAAATCAGGGCGATATTTCACCATTGTTCTCAAAATGCCTCTGCACTCTCTAGAACAGACCTGATCAAACAACATGTGGACAGAGTTTAGATCTTTATTAGCAGCTCCATTTCAAGTAAGAAATTGAGCTAAGTCCTTATTCAATTATATGAGGTAAATATTAGCTTAGTGTCTGTTGACATTTTTCTAGGGCTTGTTATCCTAAGCCATTTGGCAACTGGAAGGTTTAAAATAATCCCTATTTTACCATTCTATTTCTGCAGTGTCAAGAAAATTACTCCCACTTTTATTGACATATTTTAAAATTAGACTAAGTCAAAGAAATAAAAGTAGCCCTCATAGGCAGTTAGGCTGTCCTGGCTGAGAAATATAGTCCAAATGAGCTAGTATTACTCTAACTTTAATTTTTTTAAATAAAGCCTGAGTTAAAAACAAACAGTAAATTGTTAGACATACCTTGCAATCAACATATGATCCTGAATGTAAGCTAAAAATTGAGGATGATCTTTTCTAGCAATATATAAACACTCTCCATGTAGACAGAGAATCTTCAGACAGTTAAGCATATTAAAAAGAATGTCTGGCTCTTCAAACTTAGCCATTTCCTACACAAAGAACCACACAGTTACTGAGTTATTTGAAACAGCAATGCTCCCAAACCCAATATTCAAATAATATAGAAAAGATACCTGGAAAATGGTATAGATTAATCTCAAAGTTACTGGAAGTTGTTGGTAGCAAAATTTTCTTTCAGTATCATTCTTTATTGCTGTGAAGAAATGATTATACAAAGGTTAGCATAACTTCTTTTTACCACCTGGAATTGATCTAGATCATAAAGCCAACATTTTGATCAATGATTCCACAGAAGAACTCTAATGAAAAAGAAGAAAATGCTGAGCAGAATTTCAAATTGATTTCCAGAGCCATGGAAGGTAGATGAATCCCTGAAACAACTGCCCTGAGATAATCTTTAGATCATAAACCAAAAACATCCCCCGAAATCTTCTTTAGCCGAACAACAGTTTAGCTTAACCAGTAAAAAAAGGAAGAAGAAAAAAAAAGGTCTGCCTTGACCTTTTAAAAACCACCTACCATCTAAGATGCAACTGTTGGTCTCTCCCCATCCAGAGTAAAGAAGAATGAAGAACATCAAGGACTCAAGGAAACAAACAGTCCAAAGAACTAGTGGACCATGTGGACCCCAGCCTCTACCACCCAGAGACCAGAACTAAACGGTGCTTGGTTACCATGGCCAACTCTGATCAGGACCAAAGAAGATCCTGGACAGAATGGGGAGAAAAATATAGGGCAAAATTCAAAACCATAAAAAAGACCAGACTTACTGATCTGATAGATATTGGTGAAACTCTTCAAATGGTGGTCCTTAGACACCCTTGAAACCTGGAACTGAACACACCCTCAGGGATCACCATTCAGCCCAATACAGACAAGCCTATAAAGTTAACAGTAACACTGAAAAGAACCTACTCCTCAGAACAATCAACCTTACTGAGGCCAAAAGAACAGCATGTGCCCCCAAAACAAAGCTCAGAGGACAGGAAGGAGCAGGAAAGAAGGACGAACGGACAGGGAGAACCCAGAGAGAAAGTGGGAAGAGTGCTGTTACGTTGGAGGATTGTAACTACTGTTACAAAACAAAATATGCATAAATTGTTGAATGGAAAATGAATTTGCCTATAAACTTTCACCCAAACCTAAATAAATAAATACGCACACACACACATCTATATGGGATCAAACTGACAACAGCAATGCGAAAGAACACATAGGAACCTTAGAGGACAGAGAATTTATCTTAACGAGGGAGGAACCACTTAGAAAAAGAGAGTGAGAATTGTTGCACAAATTGAAGAACATAATCAGTGTTGCTAATTTTACATGTAGAAACTGTTGAATTGGTGTATGTTTGATGTGTATATTCTCAACAACAGCAATAACATAACATTTAGGGGGAAAAAAAACAAGAGGACTACAAATAGATACAGAGTGCATTAAAATGTTTTGTGTGATGTTTTTTATTTTGCTCTTCAAGTTTGTATATATCCTTTCTACGGTGAAAGTCCAAGATACCTTGTAATTTAGGATTCTCGGGTTCAATTTTTCACTGTGTAGCTGATGTGTAGTCAACTGTCTTTTGCTTCCTGGACTATCCCAGCCCTGATCTGTGATGCTGTGGGCTACTAAGTCTGTGGCTGCCTTCCCACCTGAAAGGGAGATAAACCAAAAACCAAGCTCACTGCTGTCGAGTCGACTCTGACTTCTAGCGACCCTCTAGGTAGAGCAGAACTCCCCCTAGGGTTTTCTAGGCTGAAATCTTTACAGGAGCAGAATGCCACACTTTCTCCCACAGAGAAGCTGGTGGGTTAGAACCACCAACCTTTCAGTTAGCAGCCGATCCCTTTTAACCACTGTGCCCCAGCAATCCCACAGGGAGATAATCAAGTATTAAAGAGAGGTGTGCATCATTAGTGTCTAAGAAGATTTTATCCCACGGACTGATCCAAAATGGAGTGTTTTGAAGAAGTTGAGCAGACCCGGATCAGAACAGGTACTAATGGTTTTCTCTTCTTTGAGGGTTTCTAAAACCTTTGCTCCTATTGTACTTGAGACATGTTAGAGGAAAGAATTCACATGCTAACTAGACATAGAAACTATGTGAAATGTGTGAAAATCCCCATCGTAAGTTTTGTCAATTCCCAGCCTCAGAGACCACGGGAAACAAATGGTCTCCACTTACATTCCAAATAGCTTGTCAGGCTCCTCCACTCTGTTTGAAATGCTTGCTATTAGCACTCACCTCTGCTATATTTACTGTGAAAGCTGTAAAGATATTTTCGGTGGAGGACACACCTGACTGTTTTAAGAAACAAGGGGCCAGCTCACAAAAGTAGGAAACAAGAAAGACTCTAGAAGACCATGGGAATGATTGTTGGTAGTGCACCCTTCCATCCCTGAGAGGGAGCTCACCGTCACCGCCTGAAGGCTCTCAGAGCAGAGCTGGACATGGGCTCTGAGCGGCGGGGAAGCTGGTCTTGGTGGCAAGGCCAGTGGGGGCTTCCCTGAGGAGACAATTTATACCTTATGTCCTGCAGGATGGTGAGATTAAGAGAAGAAATACAGGCCAGAAGGTGTGACAGGGCCTGCAGTAGTCTTTGGGGAGATTAATAGAGCAGATGTTTAGATAAGTGCACTTTATCACAATTAAGCAAGGAAAAGAGTAATTTATAAAATAATAATAATAAGCTGCTTCATTCTAACCATTGTTCAAAATAAAATGTTAAATACAAATAAACACGGAAGTTAATTGATTTGTGTGCTAGTTTAAAAATATGTTTGCATATAAAAAGTGAAGGTTCCTGTATCATTAGTGAAGTCCATGCTTCCTTTAGGCATCAAGACCTATAAAACACAATCCTGGAAACAGTATGTCACCTCCTTAAAAAGCTGGAAATAGAAATGCCGTATGATGCAGCAATCTCACTACTAGATACATGCCCTACAGGAATAAGAAAGAACTGTGACACGAACAGATACTTGCACAGCCATGTTCATCACAGCACTATTCACAATGGCAAAGAGATGGAAACAACCTAAATGCCCACCAATGAACGAATGGGTAAACAAACTATGGTACATACACGCAACTGAATACTATGCAATATTAAAGAATAATGAATTTGTGAAACACTTCATAACATGGATTAGCCTGTAGGATATCAGGCTGAGTGAAATTAGTCAATCAGGACATTAGTCAAAAAGGACAAATATTGTATAAGACTACTATTATAAAAGTCAAGGAAAGGTTTTCCCACAAAAAGAAACATTCTTTGAGGGCTGCCAGGGGTGGGAGGGAAAGAGGATAAATCACTAACTAGAGTGTAGACACGTATTAACTTGGGTGAAGAGGAACACAATATACAATAGGGGGAGATCAGCACAGAATGAGCAAGAAAAGACGACGCTGGGAGGAGCACAAGAGTTAAAGGCAACAGAGGTAAATACTACAGCATACACAATCCCTCAATAACAGTAATAACAACTATCTATGGATACGTGGATAATAACAACCACCTATGGATACATGGATAGACGTGAAAGCTGAATAGGTGTGGGAAGGAAAATAGGACTATACCCACTATATGTGTGTGTGTGTGTGTGTGTGTGACTATATATATATGAGCTTTGGTGGTGTGGTGCCTTACGCATTTGACTGCTAACCAGAAGGCTGGTGGTTCAAACCCACCAGCCACTCCTCGGAAGGAAGATTGAGCAGTCTACTTCCATTAAGATACCACCTTGGAAACCCCAGGAGGGGTTACTATGAGTTGGATCCGACTCAACAGCAGTGAGTTTGTATATAT